GTCACGCTCTCTATAACATGTGCGGTTCATGCCGCTATTTCTAGTTTTCATAGTAGTTCAGTTAAGGTACAAGATGCAGTAGTGTGAATATAGTCACAGCTAAAGGACATTGTTAAAGGAGTAGTTCACCCAAAAATGAAAATGTTGAAAATGTACTCACCCTCAGGTAGGGCTGTGCAATTAATCACATGCGATTGTCATGCGCATCTCGTCAGTAAAGCCGGTCCCATGATTAGTAGTAAATTGCCATCACCTGCTTTCAGATGGAGCGGCATTTAATACACTGAGCCGTAGTTCACTGACAAGCTAGGCGATATCGTGTTCATAATCAAATGCGATTCATCTGCGATTATGAGCGTGATATTGCCTAATTGTCAGTGAACTACCGCTCTGTGTAGTGAATGCCGCTCAATCTGAAAGCAGGTGATGGAGATTTGACGTGATTTACTACTAATCACGGGACTGGCTTTACTGACGAGTTGCGCATGACAATCACTCAGCCCTACCCTCAGGCCATCCAAGATGTAAATTAGTTTTTCTTCATCAGAACAGATTCTGATGAGTAGCATTACATCACTTGCTCACCAGTGGATCCTCTGCATTGAATGGGTGCCGTCAAATCAGAATGAGCTTAAAAAAAAAAAAAAAAGTAATCCACACGACTCCAGTCCATCAGTTAATGTCTTGTAAAGTAAAATGATGTGTGTTTGTAAGAAACAAATCCATCAAGATGTTTTATATTTGAAACATTGTTTCTGGTCCATAATCTATCATCTATAACACTTCCTCTAGTGAAAAAAGTCCATTACTTGTTACACTCACATCAAAATCCAGTGACATATCTGTTTAGATCTGTGTTTGGCTGTTTTTGCTTGTAAGCGCGGTGCTTGATCTATGCAGATTTCTCTCTTGATTCAGACAAGACAACTTTTTCCACTAGTGAAAGCAATATTATGGATAAAGAGGACCTGTGTTTTTGATTATTACATATTTGTTTAATACAAACAGCTTTTCTCTTCACAAGATGTTAATTGATGGACTTGTGTGGATTGTTGTGATGTTTTTATCAGCTGTTTGGACTCTCATTCTGACGGCACCCATTCACTGCAGAAGATTCATTGGTGTGCAAATGATGTAATGCTAAATTTCTCCAATTCTGTTCTGATGAAGGAACAAATTCATGCATCTACATTTTGGATAGCCTGAAAGTGAGTAAATTTATAGCAAATTTAAATTTTTAGGTGAGCTGTAATGTGATCATGAATATCCTAGATTTCACTGAATTTTGTTACCTCTTTTGTTGCTGTCAGACTCAGTAATGATGTCAGTGGTTCAGCTGAAATAAGAGAGGTGTAGACGTCATCCTAGAAAATGGAGTGACAGGAAAGAAAGGTCATTCCCAGTGGATTGAAATACTTGTGCTTATTTTAGGAAAGATCTATTGAAATGACAACAGTGAACTTCAGCTCAACTTCAGGGCGGTGATTCTAAATGTCATTGAAATATTGTTTTCCGCAGTTTAAGGAGCATAATTGAGTCCTGAAAAGCAAGACTGTGTCAGGAATTGTAATTGTAACAGGGAATTTCTCATAAATCAAGGCCTTAATTAATCAACCAGTTTTGCCTAATTAGCCGAATAGCCGTCAAAGCAAAAAAGGAAATGCATCAAGAGTCAGTAGATTTTTAGGACACTAACATGGTTACGGTATTATACTTGTGAACATTTCTACCTTGTCAAATGTCATTCATTAGTACAGAAAGAGATCTTACCACAAAAATAAATGTTTCATAGATGTTCTTTAGCATTTCTCAACAGATTGTTGTCTTGACATGCCTTCGTTCATGTCTAGGTTGTCTTACATGGATAAAAAGTAGTAAACTGTCTTCAAATGTGTGTTTATGTTCTTCATCAAATTTGTAGCGTGATGAAATTTTAATAAGCGCACAAACCTTTCAGCATTTGCTTTTTTTTGCATTCCTTCTTTTTGATGTTTTGCAATCGGTTTATGAGATCACTGCAGATAGCAGAATGAAATCTTCAAAGCTTTTATGTGTTTCCTAGTTGATTATGTTAAAGGGGTCATATGATGCTGCTAAAAAGAACATTATTTTGTGTATTTGGTGTAATGAAATGTGTTTATGCGTTTTAAAGTTAAAAAAACACATTTTCCACATACTGTACATTATTGTTTCTCCTCTATGCCCCGCCTTTTTGAAACGCGTCGATTTTTACAAAACTAATCGGTCTGAAAAGCGAGGTGTGCTCTGATTGGCCAGCTATCCAATGCGTTGTGATTGGCCGAATACCTCAAGCGTGAGACGGAAATGTTACGCCCCTCACATACTGTTGATGCCGTGTCCCGGCCGGAGCGAAGAGACAAAAACATTAAAACCCATTACAAACGAAGCATTTGTTGCATCCAGTGGGGACATAAATACGGATTATAATGACTTATACTGTCTGTTTACGCGTTGCATTGCATCGAGCGGCGTAAACATAAAACCATGTCTGCATTTGTGATCAGAGAAATGACAAACAACAAGTGCTAACGTTAATCCACACTGCCCAAAACTCGCGTTTGAATCATCAGTGGCAAATCCTTTAAATGAAAACGTACTTACGTGAGTCAGAACTGCCAGCATTTTAGTCTAACGTAACTCTCCCAGGATCAGTAAACAGTCCTCCATAAAATGTGCCGGCGATCCACAGCACTAAGTTGAAGTATTCCCTCAGCGACCAGCACAGATCAGCTCTAGGCATAACGAAGCGGATATCGTCCTCTTTTGGAAGACCAAACAAAGTAGTTTCACTTTCACAACGAAAAACACAGCGGCCTAGCGTGAGCGAAAGCCCCGGCTTAGCCTGAGCTGAAGCCGGGCAAGAGTGAGCTGAGGCGGCGGGGTCGAGAACGGCGGTCCCGGCAAAGGAGCGGTGAAAACGGTGAAAGCCAATCCGGCGATCCACAGCACTAAGTTGATGTATTCCCTCAGCGACCAGCACAGATCAGCTCTAGGCATGACGAAGCGGATATCGTCCTCTTTTGGAAGACCAAACAAAGTAGTTTCGCTTTCACAACGAAAAACACAGCGGCCTAGCGTGAGCGAAAGCCCCGGCTTAGCCTGAGCTGAAGCCGGGCAAGAGTGAGCTGAGGCGGCGGGGTCGAGAACGGCGATCCCGGCGAAGGAGCGGTGAAAACGGTGAGGGCCGATCCGGCGATCCACAGCACTAAGTTGATGTATTCCCTCAGCGACCAGCACAGATCAGCTCTAGGCATGACGAAGCGGATATCGTCCTCTTTTGGAAGACCAAACAAAGTAGCTTCGCTTTCACAACGAAGCACACAGCGTCTTCAGGACATGGCGGCAGCGGCAACAATACTACAGCGAGAATAAAAGTTACGCCTTCTTTCTTTGCGTGAACATTTGGGCGGCGTTATGCAAATCTTCCCACATAGTGAGGTAGATATGTGGGGGCGTGTTAGAACGAGCCGTTTTAGGTAGGTGTGGCTAACTCTTAACTTTTATAAAGAATATCTCTTTGGATTTGAGACTTTAGTCTTTGCAACTTTACAGATCTTCTTTATGCACCAAGAGCTTGTAACACTCCAAAGAGAAAGGAAAAAATAAAATCGCATCATATGACCCCTTTAAAAAAAAATTATAACACTGATTCTATAATTTCAGGTGCAAGTTTAACAAGGAAAATTCAGAACATTTTACACCTGGAAGAGGCTGTGCTCAGCACAAAATCAGCTGGGATTCACATTTCTGACAACAAAGAAATGACCAAACCACTGAGAAGTAAAATTGCATCAAAGTTCCCTTAAGCAAAAGTGAAACCAAAAACAGTAGTTATTCAGTGGAGAGGCTGTTTTTTGATCATTAACTACATTTTTACATTTTACTTTGATGCAGAAAATATTTCAACATATAAAACCCTTCAAAAGCAGCTATTTTGTCATATTTTTACTGAGGATTTTTGTCAATTAATTGTTTTTATCATTATTCAGACATTAGCATAAGCTTATGCCACATTATATCATGTTGTTACATATCTAAAAAAAAACAAAAAAAAAACTTTTGTACACATGCATTATATCTTGACCATTTGGCATATTTAGCATAAGAAAATGATTGTCATAGTAGAATGTGCAATTCCTGGTATTTAAAGATATTTACTAAATCAAGGGTAATTTCATTTTGAACCATCATATACCTCTTGATATGCATCAAGGATAAATTTATTTTATACTCTAAATACGATGTACATTTTACCAAAGCTGTAATGAGCAAATCACAATCATGAGAGATTTAGACAGTATTCAGTCAGATGTAGTCAATGACTGAAAATGACAGATTGTTTAATTTGTTTTTACAAAGAAGTCAAAATCTTATCAAACTCATGATTTATTTTTGTTGCCATGTCATTGTTATGAATATTTTTATTTGTAATTTACAATTTTAATTTATAGAAACACCCAATCTTAGAAAATATTTGTGGCTATATTTTTGGCATGAAAATTGAAGCATGCAATCTAATGTTGCAACTACTGACTTTTCCCCATATAAGTTTTTTATTTTTTCCCCAGAGAAGCACTTAACATATATAAATGTTCTATGAGTATCAAATGAGTATCAAACCACTCTGTACTGCATATGATCATTACACAGTTGAGCATTTTTAATATTATACAACCTGCCTTGCCTGTATTACGGAGGTTTGCGTCTGGCCTGATACAATAAGCCATGACATGATTGAAAACACATTTTTTACTTATTCTAATATATTGCCAAGAAGTATCCGAAACCACATGTACAGACTGTTTGATTATACAGACTATGCATCTTTGAAGAAATTGCAATATTAACAATCAACTAAATACAAGTGTATTGTTGTTCCTGGATTTTGCGACATTTGAAAATGTATGGTTTAATACAAATGATAATTTTAAGTTTTATTTAAATAAAAGAAACATTACCAATTTTGGACTTGTAATTTATGAAAAGTTGATATACAGCAAGCTAGTACAGTTTTTATTTTATTTTGGCGAATGGATGAAAGACAGCCTCATAATATGCTGTTTTTTTCTTCTACTTGCAATGTAGAATTACTTAACGAGGCAACTCAGAAGTGTTTCTGATTGGAAATATTAAGTTTTGGCATTTTATTCGTTTCAAACTAATTCACAAATGACCTTTCAATAGATAAAAAGACATGAAAATGCAGTGGGCCTTAAAAAAATACTTATCTCTTAGTTCATAACAACACAAACATACAAATAGTTAAATACTGGCAATAAGCTAATACTGCTTTAGCATGACATTTCAAGAAGGAATGGTTACTTCAGGGAATAGTTGTCTCCAAGTCCTTCTTTTGATTTTCCCCCAGTGAATTTTCTGCCAATGGTACAGTGTCGCGCTCAGTCAAACACTGATGTTTGGGAACCTCAGAAGGACTTGCAAAAGGTGCTGCACACATGCTACATTTATAAGGTCTTTCAGAAGACTGAAAGAGAGCTTCCACTTGACTGTTGTCTTCTCCACCACACAAAACCAAACTCTGTTTGTTGACCATAATGTGCGAGTCTGTGTCCTGACTCAGACAAACGTGTCGAGCAGCTTGATTGGCTCTGCAGAAGTTCTTTCCGCAAGCACTGCACTTATATGGCTTTCCAGTGTGAATGTACATGTGCTCACGCCAGTGACTTTTCTGAATAAACTTGCGAGCACAGGTCGGACACTCAAATTTTCTGCGTTTCATTTCACGACCCATCTCGGTGCCCTCCAGGTTGTCTATATCAGCCATTTCAGAGGGCGGCGGGGTGTCTTCCATCCATGCCTGTTGATCGGTATCACTAATAACATCACTGTCAGCACGCAAATGGTCCTCTTCCATATCCTGAACTTCAAGCTCAATAGTGTGACCATTTTGCATAGACAACATCTGCGGCTCAGTTGCTTGGTTGGTGTGGACAAGGAGATGTTCCTTCAACTTGCACCTCTGGTTAAAATGGATTCCACAATAATTACAGGTGTAATGCGAGAATAAAAGTTACGCTTTCTTTCTTTGCGTGAACATTTGGGGGCTTTATGCAAATCTTCCCACATAGTGAGGTAGGTATGTGGGGGCGTGTTCGAACGAGCCGTTTTAGGTAGGTGTGGCTAACTCTTAACTTTTATAAAGAATATCTCTTTGGATTTGAGACTTTAGTCTTTGCAACTTTACAGATCTTCTTTATGCACCAAGAGCTTGTAACACTCTAAAGAGAAAGGAAAAAATGAAATCGCATCATATGACCCCTTTAATCATTTCTTCCAAGCTATTTGAGCCCATGGTTCTTGTGTGATATTCATTTGAAATTCAAGATATTTTACTGTATAGGGAGAAAATCAGGTGTAACCTGCTGCCTGAACCGTCAGTCACCCTCAGATGGTTACTGCCTCCCATGCTGGCCTCAATTACCATCTGTTTAGAAAGGATGTCCAGACCTTGGTCATGCTGACACCTCATCTACACTGTACGTGAGAGACATGACGTGACAAAACTTGCATGCTCCAGTTTTAATCAAGAAAGCTGTATAGACCACAACAGTGTGAAGCCAAACTGCAAAGCGCACACAGTTTAGGCAGCTTTGTTGATTATATCGGGACTGTTCTAGTTTTGTTGTGTTGTCAGGCATTACTAATAGTGTAGATAAGCTACAAAAGGCAATGAGAAAAAAGTTCAGCTTTTTAATCTCCTCACTTCAAAAGCTGATCTGTGCTGATGGCAAAATAAAAGTAGGCAATATTTCAATGTATTAATGTCTTTTTGCGTATTTTGCTAGTTTCTTAAGGGCCGATTCATTAGAATATTTTTGCAATGTCTCACGATTTGTGATTATGGGAGCATAAGACAAGATATTTAAATAGTGTCTTCAATTTAAACTTCAATAGCAAAACAAATTAATTTCATTACATTAAATCTCCTTCAGTAAATTGCTTCAGCATTAATTTTTTATCAGTTTTCTTGTCAAAAAAAAAACAATCAAAAGTTTAGGGTCATTAAGATTAAAAAAATTTTTTGTAAAGAAATTATTACTTTTATTCGTATAAGTATTAATACTTTTTTTAATCATTGAATGGATCAAAAGACAAAATGATGGTATTTACATTTATAATGTTACAAAACATTTCTGTGTCAAATAAATGCTGTTCTTTTCTATTAATCAAAGAATCCTGAAAAAAAAGTATCTTGAGCAACAAATCAGCATAAAATGGAAAAAAAGAGAAAGAAATCAGCATAAAATAATTTCTGAAGGATCATGTGACACTGAAGACTGGAGTAATGGCGTTAGAGGAATAAATTACATTTTAAAATATGTTCAAATAGAAAACAGTTATTTTGTATTGTAATAATAAAATGTAATTATATTTCATAATATTTCTGCTTTTACTGTTGATCAAATAAATGCAGCCTTGGTGAGCAAGAAAACATTGTCACAACCATTTAATCTAATAGTTAATCTAATGTACCCCTTATTTTTGGCAAATTAATGCACACAGTCTCTTGTGACTTTAGTCTAAATTATCCATGATCTATGTTTTTAATGACTCACTCATGACCATCTGCTGATTGTATTATGTACTGCTTGTACTGAAGTATGTTTATCCAGCTCATTGCGAGCTTCTTTGTATATTTATAGCCTGCTTGCTGTGTTTTTTTTTCACGGTTGCCTCTGCCCATATTAAAGACAGTTATGAGTCACTTCTCACTTCAGTCTGGGAAACCATGATTCATTCAAGCTCTGTTTTAGCAACCAATGCCCAAAATACTCTGGCATGGAGTCACCCCCTATCTTTACATTGCAAAGCCAGCTTAGGAATGCCCTGATTGACTTGAGTAGTGGTATAAGCTGTTTAGCTAACATCTGATTTCCTTTAAATAAGCAACAGTAATTTGTAGAACTAAATAAACTGGCACAAGTGCATTTACTCCTGAAGGACATTGGCATTCTGTTTCCATATTGCATAGGGAACTGAAGCAGGCTAGATGTGAATGCATTGTGGGACATTTCCCACGGAGTGCCAAAAACTAGCTTGCATTTTTCAAAGAAATCCATTCTTTCAAACACCATTTGTTCAAATCCTTTATACTGGCATGTGAATATGACAGTGACCCTCTGAAAGAGAGACAGCTAACCTTATTTTGAGCACAATAGTTCATTGTTGAAACTAATGATGTCATAGTTGAATTTCCTGCTGGAAAATCCCCCCCAAGATGGGTTCTTATCTGAGGTGTGTTGTGTCATTCTGTTTAGTTGTGTGTGGTTTTCTCTCCTGACCTGCAGGCTTAAAGCAGCAGGCAGCACTGGATCACAGCTCCAAGCAGCCTGCCACGTCCCGCAACATAAAGTGTGAGCTCATGGAATCTGCAGATAGCGGTTAGCATATATATTTTACGAGGATATGCGCAATGATTCATCAAATGTTCTCACAACCAGAGAGCAACAGACAGGCATAGAGTTCATGTGTAGGTCAATGACAGTTACAGTACAGTTACAGTTACAGAAAAGTGGCAGTTCTGGAGGGGATGTAGATTCGTAGTAGTGAGTGGAAGTAGGCGGGTGCTGAGCCTGTGGCTGTTCTAGGTACTCTGAAAACTTGTTCTATGTTATTATATACTTAATTATAATAAATTTTATATATACGTTATTATATAATATTTATAGAGAGAGAGCGCAAGAGAGAGTGTAACAATTAAAATCTCTGAATTTATATCTAGCGTAGTGTTAGTTCTGGCAGGTCGCGTTAGTCAAGCTCGCATCAGCTGACTCTCAGCTGATCCCCATCAACCTATAGGAATACGACACCTATCTAAGCATTCATATATAAGGTCCCTCAGTATTATCAGCAGTTTTCGCATTGCTAAATAGCTAATTACCCTCCTCCATCCCCA